CTATTAAACATAGGTAGACGTCCTTCTGCATTTGCGTTGCTCTACCAACTTTCAAACGAATGCCACTCAATTTCTTGCTCTCTTCGTTGATTCTCGAAGGATTCTTTCATTGCATCTTTACTCCTCGCATTCATACCAACCTCGTCAGGTTGAATAAATTTGGAGTAGCTGGCCATTTACCCGTAAGACGTGCTAATGGAGAAATTTCAGTCAGTATTTTGGATTTGATACTGATGAATAGCTACTTGCATAACTGAGTCAGGCATAGAATTTCTTCCGTTCATAATCAAAAGTAAAGTATTTGGAACATTTCTGTTTTGTATATAATGATATATATATATATATATATATATATATATATATATATATATATATATATATATATATGGAGAGAGAGAGAGATGCGAACAGAGTAACATATGTATACAGAATGGATAGTAATATGACAGAATATATATATATATATATATATATATATATATATATATACAGGTGTTGAACAAAAATAATTGGAACAGTGGCAAAATCCAATCCTATATTTCAAAAACCTATTATATTAAGAAATTTAACTAAAACTTCGTAACTGCAGGTTATATCTATTATAAATACGTTTATTTATCTAATTTACTGTCTTTGTCTTATTTATTTTTAGAATTTAGTCAAATTTAAGCTAAATACGTGACCTCTCCGAGATCGAAAAAGAGCAAATTGTTGGAACTCGCATGGCAAGAGCCTCGATCACTAAGGTTGCTGAACTGTTTGGTTTTTCAAGAGGTACCATATTAAAAACACTGATGCAATTCGAGAAACAAGGCAAGACCTCTAGCAACCGTAACAATTCGGGCCGGACTTGCCAAATTACTGACAGGGACGAACGTGCATTGAAACGCAATGTGGCAAAAAATCATCAGACAAATGCGGCCAAAGTGACTGCTGAGTTGAATAACCATCTGAATAGTTCAGTTTCTAATAAAACTGTTCACCGTGAGCTCCATAAGGCTTCATATCACGGAAGAGCCGCTGTGAGGAAACCTCCTCTCGCCACTCGCAACATTCAAAAGAGGTTGAAGTGGTGCAGAAATCACAATGCCTGGTCTGCAGACCAATGAAAGCAAGTCATATTCTTAAACAAGTCCAGTTTTTCTCTTATACCAACTTCAGGGCGAGTTTATTTGTGGAGGATTCCCAAAGAAGTTTACAACCCTGACTGCCTTCTTCCAACAGTGAAGCATGGAGGTGGAATAGTGATAGTTTGGGCAGACATATCATAGAAATGTCTCCGTCTAATAGTTGCCCTGCATGGTAGAATCAACAGCAAAGATTACCTGAACATTTTGGGAGATCATGTTCATCCAATGGCCAAAACTTTATTCCCTGACGGTGACTGCACCTTCCAAGACGATAACGCCCCAATACATACCGCTCGAATGGTTAAGAATTGGTATGAAGAGCATAAAAGTGAGCTAGAACACATGGAGTGCCCTCTCCAATCTCAAGATATCAATATTATTGAACATTTGTGGTGCATTTTGCTGCAACAAGTTAGGAGCCGCTATCCTCCACCGTTGTGTTGCAAAGAGTTGGAGAAAGTGTTAATGGAAAATGGCTGAAACTTCCTCTGGATGAAGTCAGGAAGTTGTATGATTCCATTCCTAGACGTATTAAAGCTGTCTGTGAGGCTAAAGGAGGACCAACTCCATATTAAATAAATTTTCTTTGAATTTAACAAGTGTTCCAATTATTTTGTCCAATCCATGTATATATATATATATATATATATATATATATATATATATATATATATATATATATATATATATGATATAATGGAATATGCGTACACCTGTGTTCCCCCTCATTGGAATATGATTGGCTGGTGTCCGTCATAAATATCGACGGACGTGTCGGAGGGAAGAGCCTTAGTCTGAGAGCTAAGTCTATAAAGATGACAATTGGACTATGCCATTGATCTACACTACTTACCTGCGACTACGACGCGTACCAATCAATTACTGGCTACCGTATTCTACTTGGTTATAGTAGCCAAAACCACTTTTCTACTTCGTTCAAATAGATCCCTTTCCGGGACATATCATATATATAGGTATTCGATGGATAAATTGTCGTTTAAATTGTGGAAAAATGAACATAACACTGACAACGTAATTTAAGAGATATATTTGCCAAAATTGCACAAACATATCTTGAAATAATACAGAGTAGATTTATTCAATAAAATAGCCATTTTGTTCAACCACGGCTTCCAGACGAATCTCCTGCAACTCTTCTGATTCGTCTCATTGTTTAAGTTGTTGAAAGAGTGTTGTTGTCTTCTCGCTCAACTGTGTCCCACACATAATAATCAAGGAAGTTTCAATCTGGAGAGTTAGCTGGCCAGATGTAAGGAATGTTATGGTTAAAGAAATTATCTGATAGCCATAACCGGCTTCTCTTGCTTGTGTGTCGTTGTGCAGAATGCTGTTGCATGACATAGGGTATTCCAGCAGCCACCTTCTTGACCCAGGCAACTCTACCTCCTCTACGCACTTGATGTTGATCTCTGTGTTGAGTCTGAAGCTATCACCAACAAATTCCGGAGTTATTGTCTTATAAAAACGATCAGAGTATCTTTTCCGTGCTGCTGTACCTTCGTAATCACCATCAGATTCACCCAACTCTTTATGAATTGATTGACACCCAAACACTCTAAAATATTAGGATCTTCCAACGTGAATGTCAAGTAGTACAGCATGCCGTTTTTAAATTTCTTTTGGAGTGAATTGCGTCATGGTGTGATTTTCCTCATAGACCCTACGGTTTACAAAATTGCCGAATTGACCCTACTGTTTACACCCACCCCCCTCAAAAAAAAGTTACATGCGTTCTCATACAATCATACAATCAGGTAGTCGGCAATTGTCATTTTGAAAATATGCAATGAACGTATAAGACATTTAGCCGTATTCGGTCTCATATATATATATATATATATATATATATATATATATATATATATATATATATATATATATAGTATAGAGAGAGAGAGAGAGAGAGAGAGATGTAAGGATGGTGAACTCTCCCATGAGAATCCGAAAAACCTCATTCAGTTTTTATGTTTGTGTCATATGGCTCTTCAGTCACGTAGACACATCCCCACTTATGCAACAGGGAAGATCTCGGGACATAGTCACAGGAATATATGCTGATGTTTTTAGCCGTTCTGATTCGTCTCTTACGATTGATTCAAAAAATGTTCGATAGCCCGCTAGCACAAATATCTACAGTTATTTCTCGCAATGATAATTCACATAAAATTAGTATGAGGCACATTGACAACTGAGCAGAGACTCTTTAGCTTCTCTTTATATCCTAGGGAGTGTCCGCAACTTTCCTTTGTCCACTGCCAAGTTGGCTATATATGAGGACATTAGGTATTCTGTAATCATTCATATTTGCGAAATGACACACACACACACACACACACACACACACACACACAGACACACACATATTGTCATCAAGAGACAGTCGGTTTCACTGTATTACAGCTCATCAATGTGGCCAGACGTCTGTTTTCTTCTAGCTAGTATCGAAACCCAGCTGAAATGGCGGCAGTCGGAGCATCTACCCCTAAGCCTTTGTCACACGGCAGGGATGAAGGTAAATTTAAGTGTATTTATTTTTAGATAAACACACAGTGACTGTTAGAACACGATTCGTTTTACCGAAGAGTCTTGCATTATATATATATATACATATATATATATATATATATATATATATATATATATATATATATATATATATATATATATATATCAGGAAAGTTTTAGAAAAATCCATCAATTGGGAAAAAAATATCCGTGTGACATATTACGTCCCTTAGAACTGTCATCGGACTAAAATGATGTTTACATTGATTTGATTACACATGCGCATAAAGAAGATGGGACGCTAACAATTTTAAATGCAATTATTTAATTTTTAAATATTTCATTTTCTATATAGTCTAGATGATTTAATTTATTGCCTATTTCTTTTTGTTTATGTCTTCATCACTTTTGTTATTAAATACCCAACATTGCCATAATACAAGATCTGTCAAAAAAGGTGAAGTATGGTCAAAACCTGAGGTTAAATATCTATGGATAATCGAGTGATTACAACATTTTCTCTATATGCTCCCTATTTCTTTTAATTAAAATAGCATTTTTTTTATCAAAACTATGGTCAAACATATTACGGATAGCCATTAATGCCCTCAGTGTGTTTTGTTGTGCATGATTCATGTTGTGCTCATTTAATCTTCAGTATCTATCTATATTTCTGAGATGAGGTATTATGTACAGTATTTACATTATTCGGACTATTGACCTCATCTTTGTCGCCATGTTTATTACAACCTTTCGGCCTTTCAGTATATTTATTTTTATATTATTCGGACTATTGTCCTCATCTTTGTCGCCATATTTATTACAACCTTTCGGCCTTTCAGTATATGTCTATATTTCTTACATGAGATATTATGTACACTATTTACATTATTCGGACTATTGTCCTCATCTTTGTCGCCATATTTATTACAAATTAGTTCGACATTCCAACTACCAGAAGCGGGCCGGAGCGTACAACGGCCGAAACGTTGTAATGAATATGATGACAAAGATGCGGACATTAGTCTGAATAATGTAAATAGTGTTCATTTAATCTTTTATTTGAATTTCAAGATTTTCCTTCTATGGATTCATTGTGGTAATTAAAGTAGATGAAAGTGTAAATTCCCCCTTCCAGTTGGAGCATATTAATATTTTGTTTTGTAATAAGGATTTGTAACTAGTAACTAATTGAAACACATTTTAAGTTAGGCTTAGATACAGTCTTTACAATTGTAGCTGTGACAGGGTTCCTTATTAGAATAATATATTTTTTATTCTTTGCGTTTGTCAGAATGTTCCACTCTTCTATTTTAAAATATTTTACGATTCTTTTCTTTCAGTTTAATATAAAATTATCAGGGTATCTGAGGTAGATAGGTAGATAAACTGGGATAGATATGAAAAGACTGAGATAGATATGAAAAGACTGGGATAGATATGAAAAGATTGAAATAGATAGATAGATATGAACAGATTGAGATGGATAGACAGAAAGAGGGATGAACTGAATGAAATAGATAGATATGAACAGGCTAAGATAGAAATGTAGGTAGGTAGGTAGGTAGATAGATAGATAGATAGATAGATAGATAGATAGATAGATAGATAGATAGATTTGATCAGACTGAGATAGATAGTTATGAACAGACTGTGATATATATAAACCGACTGATATATATATATATGAACAGACTGAGATAGATAGATAGATAGATAGATAGATAGATGCAAATCCAATTAAATTTACGTGTCCATGTCATTGCGATTGCGCCCATAGCGTAACTTTTATCGAACAGGCAATTTGAATTTTTGTCTCCAGTCCAAATTCCTATCGTGTTCTTTTTTGAAAAGTCATGAATCAATGTCTTCTTGCCACTCATTTAGGGTTTAAGAGTAGCGCACACTCTCTAATTTTATTTGTCAACCACAGTTGCAGAAGTGCAATTTAAAAAAATGATGATCGGGGGAGTAGCAACACCACCCCGTAAACTTGCCTCCTACGTTGTTTCAGTCTTGTGTATGAGAAATCTTATGAATTAGAATCCTTCACGCCATTTAGCACTGATTTAGAATAGGAAGAATATAATATTATGATAAGAATTAAGTAGAGTCATGTCAGAACAAAAATAGCGTGTTGCTGCCATATCTTGAAAATAATTCATCACCCACAAAGCCACATGAACGCTTTTGAACTCTGTTAATGCTGAAAAGGGGGAAGTGGGAAGGGGCTCCAGCTGAGATATGCCAGCAATACTTCTTTTTTAGTCTGATATGAATATTGTAAAGATAGAACAGGACAAGCGAATATGGTAAAAATAGAGCGGGAGGTGTCAGTTTCTTTCTGGAGGGGTGCAAATGAACGGATTGAGATAGATAGATAGATAGATAGATAGATAGATAGATAGATAGATAGATCATCAACATACTAAGATAGATAGATAGATAGATAGATAGATAGATAGATAGATAGATAGATAGAACATGAACGAACTAATATAGATAGATAGATAGATAGATAGATAGAGATAGATAGATAGATAGATAGATAGATAGATAGATAGATGATAGATCATGAACGGACTAACATAGATAGATAGATAGATAGACAGATAGATAGATAGATAGATAGATAGATAGATAGAGATAGATAGATGAACAGCCTAAGATAGATAGATAGATAGATAGATAGAACATGAACAGCCTAAGATAGATAGATAGATAGATAGATAGATAGATAGATAGATAGATAGAACAATAGCAGACTAAGATAGATAGATAGATAGATAGATAGATAGATAGATAGATAGATAGAACATGAATAGACTAAGACAGATAGATAGATAAATAGATAGATAAAGAAATAGAAATCAATAAAATATGAGATAGATAGATAGATAGATAGATAGATAAAGAAATAAATCAATAAAATATGAGCATATATATGTTTACTAATGTGTACATCTCTGTTATCACGTCGAGAATTTAAACAGATATCTCCGCTCTTTCCAGCCTTCACAGAACTCAAAAGCTTTTACTTGGCTTTGTAGGTGATGAAATATTTCCCACTCAACAACTTTTTTCGGACATTTTGCTAGCCTCTCACTACTCTATTTCTAGTTTCATGGAAAATTTTCTGATAAACAAACATTCCTTAATTCTATTGGAAAGAGGAAAGTTTCTTCGTAAGTACCACTACATTGTGGGAAAAAACACATGAGGATGCTTCCCGACCATTCCAGTCTTAATTACTTGAAGTCTACGACCAATCGTTATCTCTCCTATGCTCAAAATCTAGAATTCTCACATCCTCCTCATGAAACAGCTTCTATCTTGAGTGTGTCTTGAGATTTTGTTATTTGAGCGGTATGGGTAAAATGTAAATGCCCTTTTTCTGAAGATATGTGGGAAGGATGGTGTTAAGATTGTAGCAGTCGGGGAAGTATCCACTTGGGAGTCGGTCTCCCAATGTGGCGGTTCGTTGGAATAAGCTGTTCGAGTTGCACGCATTTCATAATAATTGAATGCAATGTGAATTAACGGAGGGAATTAATAATAATTACTAAATGGCTTACAGCATTTCTGGATAACATACTATCCAAAAATGTTAGGTATTGGCATTTATTCCGGTTTGTTTATTATTTTCATGAAGAACCAAACCTTTAGTAAATCAATCTGGCCTATCCAATATGTTATGAATAATCAAAAATAGTCTCCCTTTGTTTTGTTAATCACCACTTTGAAAGAGCTATTTCTGTTTACTGGGACTATAAAAGGAAAATAAAAACCTACACCTGCGTGCTTTTCTCATTACACTCATACCTACATTTTAGCGCTCAAATTACTGTTCTGAAATCAAATTCGATGTGCCTGACCGCCCAAATTACATGTAATTGTTGGCTTCTAATTGGGCAGTATTTTAAGTTTCCTCTTTCTCATTACACTCATTTGTATATCCGTGATATATATATACACATTAACAGGATTGCTGAAGGAAACGAATGCCAAATATGCATTCAGTTTAAAGAGATTTTCAAGTCGAGATCGAAATCCGATTGATTTGGTATCAGTCGAAGATTCTATCGACGTCAGGCAGGGAAAAAAGTAAATTTTAAAGTATTTATTGTATCATAAACACACCAGTGATCTAGAGAACTCAATCCAGTTTGGAGAGTCTTGCATTTTCAGCAGTAATAGTGACTATTTTTCAAATTCGCTCTTTTCTCCACACACACACACACACACAGAGAGAGAGACACACACACACACACACACACACACACACACACATATATATATATATATATATATATATATATATATATATATATATATATAAAAGTGAATATTGAACAAAAAGTAAACATATCAGGCGTGTCAGGCTGTTTCATGCTAGACGCACTCGTGACGATTGCGACGAGCATGAAACAGCCTGTTGCCTCTGAGTGTTGATTTCAATGTTAATTTTTATATTTACATACGCTCTATCTCTGATATTAACCACTTTATAGCCCACATTAAAACTATATTTCTTCGCATATATATATATATATATATATATATATATATATATATATATCCGGCATACTTTTTTCAAACAGATAAACAATAAAGTTATAGAGATAAAATAAGCGGTAGGAACGGACATAAATTAAAAGCGTTTCACACTTGTAATATTTCTCGAAGTGATAACAAACGGTTGCTGGGGTAGTTTATATTCCTTGATGTGTTCATGTGGTGTTATAAGAGTTGCGAAAGATCATGCCTTGCTTCCTCGCTGCCTTCTTAGTTGGTCCGTTACACTACAAGCTGACGCCACTTTCCGACCGTTACGTAACCTCCTAAATTCGTCCTACTTAAAAGCGACATAATCGACCTCCGCATCACTTCACATGTCTCTCTTTGCGATGTACACTTAAGACCAGGTTATTTTTGTCAACGACACTAGATTTGTTTTTGAGGCAGAAGTAAATTGTACTGTCATCCACATAGATGCCTACTTGGGAATCTATGACGTCAGGAAGATCGTTGAAGAAGATAAGGAACAGAGTAAGGCCTAGGATGGAGCCTTGGGGAACACCTGAGTTCGTGGGATAGGAGCTGAAGGAGAATCCGTTGAGAACGACCGTCAATACACGATTTGACAGGAATGATTGTATTAAGTCAAACAATCAACCTGAAATTCCATAAACCTGAAGCTTTTGAAGAAGGCCGGCATGCCAAACCCTATCAAACGCTTTGGAGATATCTAGGGCCACGGCACGAGCTTTTCCGTTATTATGAAGAGCTTGGTAAACTATTTCAGTGATGGCGGTAAGCACATCAGCTGTAGAACGGACAAAGCGGAAACCATATTGCTTGTCTGAGAGCAGACCATGGGATGTATGGTGCTTAACCACTTCGGCGTTGATTAAAGCTTCGAAGACTTTGCCGAAGCGGGGTAAGAGACGGATAGGACGATAATTAGAAGGGTCAGAGGGGTCGACAAAGTATTAAAGACAGGAACAATGGATGAGGACTTTCAACAATCTGGAAAGCAAGATTCATTGAGGCAGTAGTTATATAATTTGGAGAGGACAAGGTCCAGTTCCGGCACACATCTCTTCAGGAATATGGCTGGTATCCCATCTCCACCAATAGCATTATGGGGGTCTAAATTAGAGATAATGCCCAATACCGATGACGGGGTTATGTGCAGCTCACTCAATAGAGCCTCAGTTCTAAGGGGGAAATCGGTTGTTTTTTTTTTAATCTCGCTTAATCTGGTAAACCTGAATCTAAGCTCAACTTTTCTAGGACTTTTGAATGAGCTATGAATAATTGAAATTGGACCAGCGGGAGAGGAGGAGTTGCTTGGACACACACATACACTATCTTATATATAAGATGCGTATATCGATTAAATATATATTAAATTTCGGTTATATATTCAACACTGTTTTGTCTAACATTTTGTCGATATCAAGTTCTTGCTAATGACTGAGACTATCAAAAATAGTTAATGAACAAAATATCAACTTTTCTTATTTTAACCCAAAATTTTGATTCCGTTGCACACCCTACTTCGAAAATTGGAAAATGCAATAAAAAATGACCCAGTGAGACCTTGTCAGTTGAATTCAACAATATCTGCTTAAATGAATTCTTGAATAGATATTTTTTCTACTGCTGAATTCTAATTCAATAGGTTAGGACCAATTAATGTCGCGGATATTAAAAATAAATTGGTAGGCATGATATTATTAGCGCGGTCGATCTTTTTCACCAGACACACTTATAAAGAGACGAGTTTAAACAGCGAAACATTTCATTGGATAAAAAGATATTGTTCATATTCTGACAGCTGTTCGTTTCGTCGCTAAATTTCTCTTCACAGTCGACTATGTTTTAAAGTTTACTTTATTTTCGTTCTATTTTTGGGGGACATATATATAAAAATCTCCAATTTTTGTTTATCTTCACTTCATTGTTTTGCAAGCTTGATGTTCATTTTTCTGTTTCACACAAGCTCATTTCTTTTAATGTTTCTGTTATTCCCTCGGCGTTTAAGTCGTATGCATCTTTCTGGAGTTATCAAAATACTGCTTTAGAAGAGAATCATATTACTTACTCACGTGTATCAAATACAAAAGCTGGCACGGTTATATTATTTCCTTGAGATCTTCCTCGGCCTGATGCTAATTTGGTAAAGCACGCTTATTATTTTTCAACTGACGAATATTGTGTTACAGTTTTATTAAAATTTATTTTGAACATCAACGCTTGATATATGTGCTGAAAAATTCACTTAGCCATGGCCCTTCCAGGCGACATGAATTTGAAATTAATATGTATGCACTGAGACAAATACTATTGCTATTGACCTCACGATTTTTTGGTTGTAGAAGGGTGCGCTGAATACTTAATAAGCTAACTATAGCTGTTGAATTTTTATGCATTAATTTCAACTCTTCTTATCAAAAACTGCATTGTCTATTTTCAGATAAACTGATATCTCACTGTTCAAAGAAAACTTCAATAGAAATTCGTAGCGACTTCTCTTGAAAATGGACAAAATTTGGCATTTCGGTGTCATCTAGTACCTGCAGAGAATGGATTTTGCTCCCAAGGTCCCTGCTTTATGAACAGTGACAAAGTCGGATATATGAATTTAGGAAAGGAAGGGAGAGTGTTTGGATTTGATTATGGTCTTGACATCCTGCAACTGATATCACCGTGATAAACATTGACGGTTTCACAAGGTGATTGATGACAACTGATTGGTTATAAGTCAAACACCTAATGATAATAGCATATCCCGTGAAAGAGTTGAGAATTTTCTGCACAACGAACTCGATATAATAATGGTTTCTTCTCGGTGGGTACCACGTCTTTTGGCACCTATCAAAAGCGCATCATTGTTTGAGGCAGATCCGGTCAGTTTCCTTGAATGCTTCTTAACCCAAGATTAGTGTTGGGGTCAACACTTTAAACCAGAGAGAAAGAGACAATCTGTGCAGTGGAAACATCCATTCTCTTCATCTACAAAGTAAGTCAACCTTGTTTCATCTGCAGGGAAGATCAAGGCCTCAGCTTTGAGGATGCAAAAGTCATTGTGTTTATTGACTATCTTTAAAAGAGTCACACCATCAATGAAGAGTCTTTCTTCTTTTATTTTCCGTGTCAGTTCAGGACGTACGTGATCATGGTTCTCCATTTCCCTCTATCCTTGTGGCTCTCAATATGCTTCGCTCCTTTGCTACTTCTCCCAAGACATGTCCGATCATCCACTTGCTTAAGTCCGCTGGGTATGTCACATGTTGCTTTCTCTTGTTTCTCTCTATTTGCTTTGTGAGTATCAGATTCTTCAAGCCCTCCATTTTCATTACGTGTCCCAAAAATTTCACCTGCCTCTATCTGAAATTAAGTATAAGCTTCCTCCTTGTTTGCTTCTTCTCTAAAACCTCATCGTTACTCACACGCCCGGTCCATTATATCCCTAGCATCCTTCTGTAGTGTCATACTTCCGCTGTCTCGAGTCTCTTCTTTATTTTTGAGACGATCGTCTAACATTCGCTGCCATAAAGGCGGACAGATATCACGTAGCAGTTCCGTACACTTTTCTTTGTTACCAATCCTACTGTCTCGTAATACTCTACCTAAGAGTACTATGCTAAATTGCCGAGAAAGTTATGAAAGGCTATGAAGACCAAACTCACAGGAAACCGACGAATGCTGTCTTGTTTCACCAGGGCAATGCTTTGGAAGACAAGTCCTTGGTTTCAATGGCTGAGATGCGTTACCGTGGCTATGAATTTGTTTATCACATCCTTCTTCTCCTTCTACCATCATCTCTTGCACAGAATGAAAAACACACTTTGCTCGAAGCCAGTTTGACAGAGATATCGACGTTGTATCTCTTGATGCTGACCTTTTTGACCAACAGGATGAACAAACTTCCTTAAACAATCAGATGTCAGTTTACCCGGAAAGAAACGATGCAGCTTTTAATAAGAAGAGTTTACATTAAATTATTTCCCAGCTCCAGCACCTTGCCTTTGTATTCAGCCTATGGACATTACAGCAAAACCTCGTAAATCGTAACCAGGCTAAAAGAAAACTATTGGTGTATAAAGCTCATGACACGGATTAATATAATGTATATGATACGAAATTCCTGATAGAGTGAATCATATTCGATCAATCAGTTATGCGCCATGCATGATACACGCTTATACGATCATGTATCTTTCGATATATGACTGACGAGGCAGATTCTTTCTCGCATTAGGTTGCTATTTCGTTCTGCTGTAGACCAGTTGCCATCCAAAGCTATAGAACATGGCCTGTCTTTCTATTTACGCGTAGCTGGGGGACAAGAAGAGGATTCATACGTTTCCCAAGGGTATTAGCACGTAAGTGAATGTAATGGAGTCGACTAAATCCGAGCCGCTGTCCATTACGCCACAGTACCTCCTATCACATGAGATACGCATACTATAAAAAAAAATAAGGCGTAGCGCAAACGTAATCCAAAATTATAACGATTAATGAGCAACCCTGGCCAAAAATTAGCAAAAAATAAAATTGTTATTAAGTAAAAGTTTAGCACGGATGACGAATGTTACAGTTCCTCCAACTGACGAGCTCAGGGGAAAAGACGGACCTTAATTTATCAATCCATCTATCAGAAAGATCTCGGGAATATTTATATGATCTACACAAACCTTTCATTAGTTGCGTAGTATGTACTCCATCAAGGCGACATATTGTATGCAAAACTGTCCTTGTCCTAGGCTAGTTGATAACCAATGCTAAAAAAGATTGAACTTCTATTTAACCCATACATGGGAGTGAAACCTTTTTTCTACGATATTTGCGCAAAAGTAAAAGGCATGAAACACGACAGTAAGTCTAACTCGGCTCATCAATTTCACGTCTTGAGCTGCTATCCGTTACGCAACACGCAAATTAAATAAAGAAACAATAAAAGCAGATACACTGTATTCCAAACATTACACACATACAAAATCCATTTTTCTACAACGATTCAATTGTGTGGATGAGTTCCGAAAATATAACAACAACAGGACATAAAAAAAATATAGTTACATGCTTATGAGTTAAGCATATCACGATGTTTTAACGTAAATACATACAAAAAATATATATATATGTGTGTGTGTTGTATATATATATATATAATATATTACATATATATACTTATATATATATATATATATATATATATATAT